CCCCCCCGCAAGCAGCATGCCTGGAGTCCCCCCACGAGTTGCTTGTCTTGCCTCCAGAAGCCCTCACTGCATGGAGTTCATCGGAAAGGCTGCCTTAGAGAATAGACAGAAATATAACTATGTGTCACTCTAATGCTACACATTTCATAAAATACATTAGGAAAAGTACAAATACTCTAGGAGTTAAATGTGGTAATAGCACTTTCCCTCTGGAGAGTGCTTCCGGCTTATTTTCAAAAGCCCTCAAATGGCGGGCCTGGCGGTGGGAGCCATGGTCACATGGCTTTACAGATGAGCAGACTGTGTCTCCTTCACTCAGAACTTCCAGTGGGTTCTGGGAGGTAAAACCCCAAGTGCCCCATCACCTGTGTGCCCTGGTCCCTGACACCCCCCACCCTGATGTCAGGCCCACCCCCTCCCTCCTTCTCCAGCTCACCAGCCCAGTGCCCACCTCTGGGCCTTTGCAACTGCAGCTTTGGTGCCTGGAGTCAGGCTTCTCTGAGCGCTCCTTGGGTTGCCACTCAAGGGTCGGCCCAGAAAGGCCTTCTGGGACCCCGGATTAAAACAGCTCTCATACCTGCCTCCGTGCTCCTACCCACCATGCTCACCTGATAGGCACTTGAGCCATCTGACATGTCACCTACCCATGTGACCATTGGCTTTTCTATTTGCCTCATTCTGGCAGGTTATAAACTTGCCAAGGACTTCACAGATGTGACTCTGGGCCCAGAACAGGCCTGGCACACCACAGGCACCTCCCTCCATATGTGTGACATGGTGCCCCCGGGCCCACATGAGTGACTGGATCAGACCTAGAATTACGGTGGGGTTTCTGCAGACCTCTTGCTGGCCGGAATGCAGAGTGAGGACACATTCCAGACAGGCTGGGTCTCTTTGGCCTATGGTGGCCTTTCACAGACAGCCATAACCTCCTTCCCAGTCAGGCCCTGCACCCAGGAACTCAGATGCAGTCTGAGGGAAGAACAGTCTCATGGGGACACTCAGCTCATGCAGACTTCCTTCGAGGCATGTGAAGTCCTGGGGAAGGTGGTGGAGCCCTCTGTTCCCAGGAGGGAAGCAGATAGGGCAGAGAGGCCCCCAGGGGTGGGGTCAGGGCCAGTCCCACCCAGGGAAGGTGGAGAGACAGAGTTGTGAACTTCCTGAAACCTGCAGACTAATGTAACAGAAACGCCTCTGTGAAGGGAAGCCGTATCATGATCAGAATCCTCCTGCATGGCCACCCATTTGCTGATCCATCCCACGAAGAACACCCAAGGTTGACTGGGTGCCCACTCACTGTCCCCCAGCCACCAGAGCTACACTGGAGGGCTCTGAGCTCTGGCTTCAAGCAGAAAGGCCACTGCTGAGCTTCAGGCAGCAGGGCAGTCAGATCTCCCTGGGGGAGAGATGGTTTTGGAGGTCCCGACAGGAGGCCACACAGGATGGGGTGGGCAGGGCCAAGATGTGGCAGAATGGTTAGCATCTGGTCTCCAGACCCAGAACAGCACCTGGTTCAGGCTCCCAGTTCCGCCGGTTGCTAGCTGTGAGGTACCTTGGACCAGGTACCTCACCTCTCTGTGCCTCAGTGTTCCCACCTGCTGGAGGGGGATGACAGGGCCTTGCTTATGGGGTGGTTGCTTGGAGTAAATCAGTTTATGTGCAGAACTGTGCCTGGCACAGGTGAAGGCTGGGGGAGTGTTTAAAAGGGGCATGGTGCTGCTGGTAACTTCACACAAGGTCTGTACAGAGCCCAGCATCACACCAAGGCCACATGCTGGGCCTGGCAGTGCTTGTAGTTACAAAAACCCCAGCATGGGGGAAGTGGCCCAAAGTGTACACAGAACTCTCTGGGCTACTCTGACAGCTTCTTGTGAGTCACATGATTTCAAAATACAAGTTATTTAAGACTCGCAGGCAGATGCTGATGGAAACTGAGACCATGAGGGCAGAGAAAGGAGTCAGACTAAAAGGAAGGGAATTAAGATTCCTGGAGGGAGTAGAGACAACTGGGTGGAGGCAGGACTCCCACAAAGACCACAGGAATGACAGTGTCACAGCCAATCAGACTCTCAAACTGGCCCAGCACTCTGGCATTTCTACAAGTGGCTGAAAGGTTTACTGAGGCTGGATCAGTTAAGGTCACCTGTTCTTCACTCCACCTGAAGTCAGAGGTAGCTCAGGACTGGGAGGACATGGGGTAGGGTGGAGGAGGTCACACAGAGCTCCATTCCATGGCACCCTGGGGGCCTCACTAACTGAAGGGGAATCTCCTTTGGGAGGTGACAGAGTCATCTCTGTCACTCTTCAAAGCCAGACAGAGGCCTGGACTGAGAATGAAGGACTGATGTGTCATCACACTCATCATTCCTGTGGTCCTTGGCCCACAGGGCCCCATGAGTGAGCAGGAAACTGTCCCTGACCACCAGGGGCTCTGTGGTAAGGCTGGGAGGCGATGCCAAGCCCTGGTCCTGGCTTCTGGGAGGGAGCAGAGGGGCCGCCACTCACCACGGTGCACCCTGGGGCATCTGGTCCTTGAGGCACAGGTTCTTGGCCTAGATCTCCACCCAAGGGCCACAGAAAGAAGGAACCACCAGGCTGGGATCTCTATGGAGTGCTCAGGACACCTGAGGCACATTGTGGGGTTGACAGGAGGCCCCAGACTCTGGAGTCCTCGGTTCTCTCTAGGCAGGGAGAAGGCCTGAGTCTGAGGCTGACTGCCACCCAGTCCCTTGATGGCCCCTCCCACCACCCAGATGAGAGCACCAGCCCCACCCATGATGTCCAAAGCACCACCACTCACCTGCTTGTGCATGATGGCCGTGGGCTGCATGATGCACTTGGGCAGCAACCCGTGGCTCTGGGCCAGGATGGTTGCCTTCTCCAGGGACACGCTCAGGGTGCTCCTGCCGCAGGGGTGGGGGCTACGGGTGAGGTGTGACAGGGGCCATTTCTGGTCCCCACGGCCCCCAGACCCCATCCCGTCATCTCCTCCCACAGTCCTCAGGCCGCAGACAGCCCCTCTTTGCCCACAGCCATCTTCCTCCCCTCTGGCTCACTCCTCCTCCAGGCAGCCGCCCACCTCAGGGTCAGGCGTCCTGTGGCTTCCTTGCCGTCACCTCACAATGAGCAGCACCACACACCCAGGGCCTTGCTGGGATCTCTGGGACACTCCCGGGGCCTCGTTCAGAGGACTTGGTACAACACTTGCTGAGGGAGTATGTGGAGGTGACCCCTGGAAGCCCCAGGACTTGCCGGCAGGGTTTGCAGTGGATGCACTGATCCATCTCTCAACAGGATCCTGGGCTGTTCTTGAAAGAGCTCTGAGGGCCAGAACTCTTGGGTTCAAATCCTGTCCCCCGTGAAGCCCTGATCCCTGACTACAAAGCAGGAGCCCTAACAGAGCCCTGTGACGCCGTGGTGTCCCGGTCAGTGTGGGATGTCCCCAGCCACCACCCACTGGCTGAAGCACCTTCATCCCCCCAGCTGGGACAAACAAAAGTCTCCAGAGGCTGCCAGATGAGCCCTGGAGGGGAAAATCACCCCTGGCTGAAGATGATGTGAGGCCCCACGCATGGCTTGCTGTAGGGAGATGAATGGGGAGAGATGAGTCAACCTGCAGGGACATTAACCAGTAGGCCAGCACGCAGAAATCGCCGACTGCTGAGACAGGCTGGGCCTTGCCCTGCTCTGGGACCCAGCAGGGAACAAATCAGCCCCTGCCCTGGGGGAGGCAGGGAAGAAACAGACCCCCCAATGAAGGATGAAGATGTGGGCAGAGAGGGCACGGGTTTAAGCAGGTAGGTCAGGGATGGCTTCACAGAGGTGACATTCCTCTCCCTGGGACAAGCAGTGGGGGCAAAGACCAGAAGTAGGAGGCATCCAGGGAGACCAGGAGACCGAATCTTCCCCGTGGACAAGCAACTGCTATCGTGTCAAATGAAGGTTCTGGCACAACCACTCTGCCTGATCTCATGCACACTGACCACGCAGTCAGAGAAGCAGACGGTCCCACAGCCCTCCTGGGTCCCCTGCGACTGAGTCCCATTTCACAGACAAACTGAGGTCCAGGGAGAGCAGGGCCCATGGCTGGCTCCACAGGCAGAGGTAAAATCGGGGTTCCAACTCAGTCTTTCTTCCCCCCGGCCCGGGCCCCCACACCACCCAGAGGCGTGGCCAGCCCCCACCCCATGCCCGGCCTCACCTCTGCATACATGAGCCACACATGGCGATCTGGCAGGCCCCCAGGTGGTAGCAGAGCTCTGAGGAGAGGATGAGGTGGGCACCGGGCTTGGGGTGGACTAGGGACTTCATGAGGTGGCTGAGTTCATCCAGGGCATTGATGGGGCAGATCAGCTGCAAGGTGTGTGACACACACCTGGAACATTGGGGGAGGGGTGCCTGGGCCCTCCCCAACCTCCCCTGCATCAGCTCCCCCTAACCCAGCTCTGTTTCTACAGATGCCTCCCAGCTCACTGCACTGAGTTTGCAGTCCAATTCAACCTTCTATGACCTCTGCTCAAGAACTATCAGTGGCTCCCCACAGCCCGTCAAGCTGGCATTCAAGGTTCACCACCTATTTCAGGTCCAACCTTCCAACCTGATTCTCTTCCCTGCCCAGGTGTCCCCAACCAAGCCAGAATGGAGTGCCTTCTCCCGACCTGGCATGCCCCACCCAAGCGTCCCTCCCCGAGAAGAGCCTTCCCTCCTAACCCCAGCCCTCCCCGACTACCGCATGGAGGTACAAGTGCCAGTTCACTATCTGTGCAGCCCTCATATTCTGCCAACCAGGCTAAAAATGTCCCAAGAGCCACTCTGCCCAGAGCCCCTGCCTCACTCTGCCCAGAGCCCCAAGGAGCACTCCAAAGCCATCGCCAAAGGCTGGGAGAGCCTGGGAGACCACAAGACAAGAGAGGCGCATCAGGGTAAGAGGCAGGGAGCCCAATAGCCAAAGCCAGCGTAGGCCCCTTGGGACACACGGGAACGTGTGCCGATGGCTGGATCTTTCCATGCCTAGAGAAAAGCTGGGAGCCTCCATTTTTACTGGAAATCTTTTGATTTCCGAATGTTGGCCACAAATTCCAAATAAGAAAAAAACAAAAAATACACCACCTGGGCCACATCTGTGGTGGGGTCCATGACTGACCCACGTGGATTCTAGCCCCGAGAAATGCTGGCACTGGGAACCGTGGGAATGGCACAGGCAGGCAGGTGCCAGGAAAATAAACCATCCTGGGAATTTTGAGAAGGTTGTGGAGCTATCCAAGACTTCCTGGAGGAGGGACTGCAGGACCTCAAGGACTTCTCTGCTAGGGCACCACCCTGGGCCTGTCTGCTTGGTCCTGACTCTGAGAGACCATCCCCGCCCAAGTTCCTGGGGCAGAGGGAGGCAGGGTGGGTGCACCTGGTCTATCTTCACTGCTGTGGTGCTGGCATCTGTGGGCAGGTTGGACCGTTCCAGGTAGAACGCCCTGGAGGAGGAAGATGGGACTGACGGTGGGGCCACCTCACCTACTGCCTTCATGCCTCTACCTGGGTCTCAGCAGCCATGCTGCTCCACCCTCCTCAAAGTCCTCCTTTGAAGCCAAACAGACCCGAATTCAAAGCTCAACCACTGCCTGGCTGTGTGACTCTGGGCAAGCTGTGTATTCTCTCCGGGCCTCAGTCTTCTCACCCATAAAGTGGGTTAGAAGGGTCTACTGCTACGAGAATCTCTTGCAGGCAAAAGGTCCAGCACACAGTAGGTGCTCAAGAAAGGGTGTTTGCCCACGGGACATCTGTCTGGCACTTTCTGCACTAGTGGCCACCCCTGAAAGTTTCCTGATCCTAGCCTCAACAGAGACCCCAGGCATGTACCTGAGTTTGCGATAATACTGCTGGACTTTTTGCAGGGACTGAGCATTGATCTCCTGCTGCAAATCTTCCACGGCCTGGCTGCCTGAAGGAGGTGGCCCCTCCACATTCTCCAGAGCTGTGAGGGAAGACACAGGAGGGTGGGTGACTGTGTTCCGGTGTGCTTGGTGGCCTTGACCCATCCCCTTGGCCCCGCCAGATGCCAAAACTCACCTTTCATGAAGAGCACAGTGTGCAACTTCAGGCAGTCCCCACCCTCCAGGTGCAAAGGCAGCATGGAGCAGTGGTAGCTGTCGAGGTAGAAGAGGACCTTCAGGACCTGCCAGCTGCCCTTGATGTGGTAGGAGACGTTGGCATCTGTGGGAGGACACAGGCAGGGCTGGTCAGCACTGGGGTGGGGGTGGCACACATCGCCTAGCAGCAAACCTCCCTGCTGGGGCTCCAAGTGGCCTCCTGGGACCTCTCTGCTCTCCCCATTCCAGAGGGGTAGCCTCAGGCATCCTGGCTTCCCACCCCCAGGGGTAGCCTCAGCCCTCCCTGCCCTTTCAGTCCTGGGGTAGCCTCAGCCCTCCCTTCTCCCTCCTCCCAGGGGTAGCCTCAGACATCCCCGGCCTCCCACACTTGGAAGAACAGTCTCTGACTCCTCCCTTATGCCGACTTCAACAGGTCCTAGTTTCCACTGCTGAATTATGGGACATGACAATGACTCTGCCAGCTGGGGAGTCTGCAGCATCTGTCTCCAGAGCCTCCTCAGTGTTCCTTTTACCCATCCTCTCCTGTGACCCCAGGGCCCTCCCTGGCAAAAGCTGCTCCAAACAGGACCTGCACTGTATTCGTGCCTCTAAGGAAGAGCTTAGGGCAGGGGTGGCCAAATATGGCCCTCAGACCCCTCCTGTACCCATGGCAGGCATCACTAATAGATCACTGCTCTGCCTGGGTCCCCACTCAGTCTAGCAGGAATCACTAATCGATCACAGCTCTATCTGAGCCCCACTCAGCCTAGAGATAGGCCTTCACTGCCAATCAATTCAAACTGGTACCTGAAAAAAAGTCTGTCCCCTGCTAGACAGAGTGATATTGCCCCAAGGAGGTAAAATTGGTCCTTGGGAGAGAGAGAAAAAAACCTTACTCTTGTAATGTGTATGCACAGATGCCTGTCGTATTAAGATTGTACGGGAGGCAGCAATTAGGAAGAAATTGACTAGAAATGCTTTTTATGAGATAAAATGAAACTGATGGAGAAACATGCACCAGAGTCCTTAGCCAGCATGCTTAGACTTGCCTGAGGGGCTAAACAGCACCGACCTTTGGGCTCTCCCTCTAGCTTTGGATGACATGGGTCTGGGATGGGCCCGGGAATTTATCTTTCTAGCAAGTCCCTGGGTGCTGACGGCCAAGAGCCACACAGATCCAGTGCTCCATACAAAGCCCAGTGGCTCTCAGGCCGGCTGCTTGTGCAGGTCACCTGGCGTGCTCTCCTGGGACCCAGTGCCCAGGCCCTGCCACAAACTGACCAGAATTGCCAGGGACTGGGGGTCCTGCAAAGCTCCCCAGAGGATTCCAGCATGCAGGCAGGGCTGAGAAACCAGAGCTCGACCATGAGCTACAAAAAGGCAGCAACCACACCGCATCTCTCTCCACTCAAGAGCTCCTGACTCTGCCCAACACATGCTGTGAGCTCATAACTAGGGTCATGTAAGAAGGTGAAAGGATGGGTGGGAGAAAGAAAGAAAAAAACTTGGTTAATTATGGAGTAAGCCCTTACAAAATCTGAAGTCCTCACCCTGAAGAAGACTTCTCTAGAACAGAATTTCAGTGGGAACCGGGTACTGATTGCCACTCTCTCCTTTTTACTTTTTTTTTAAGAGACAGGGTCTTGATCTGTCACCAGGCTGCAGTATGGTGGCATGATCAAGGTTCACTGCAGCCTTGAACCCCTGGACCAAGCAGTCTTCCTGCCTCAGACTCCCAAGTAGCTGGGATTACAGGCAGACCATCATGCCTAAGTTTTTATTTGGTAGAGATGGGGTCTCACTGTTTCTCAGGCTGGTCTCAGAGTCTCAGGCTCAAGCGATCATCCCAAAGTAATCCTCAGCCTCCAAAAGCACTAAAATTACAGACATGATCTACTGTACCCAGCCTGTCTTCCTCTTTGAAGAGCTGTTGGAGACAGCTAGGTTTACACAAAAAGAAACCCCTCTTTTTCCACATGTGCCCCTAAGTTCAGCTTTGAGATTCATGAGGCTTGACAGCACTGGGTACCCGGCCAAGATCAGGCAACTGGGCCAGACACAGGGGAAAGACAGGGTGGCCCAAGGCCCCAACCCCTTCCATCCCAGGCCCCAGCTCCATAATGGGGGTGGGAAGAATCACTCACTGGCAACATAGTTCTTGTCCAGCTGCTTAAAAGAAAAGATGACATTGTTCAGCTCTGACAGGGTCACCCAGATGTCTTCCAGCATGATCCGTTCTTCTTTCTGCAGCAAGAAGTGGGGGGAGGGACCTCAGATGCCACCCCTGCCCTGGGGAGTCAAGACGCTGCAATTCAACTCTGGTCAACTCTCCAGCCTGTAGGCCAAGGTGCCAGGGCCTACCCACGACTCTCCAGAGTGGATGTGAAGTCGTGGTTTGCTCTGGCTTGTCCTACCGAGCCTCCCCAGAGCCAAAACCCACCTCTGCCTGGATTTACTGTGGAGTCACCTCCTCTCCTACCTGGACGGCCATAGCAGGCTTTCAACAACCATTTCAAACCTAGCATGCCCAAAGAACAGTCCGTTTCCTTCCTCAACCTCCCCCGTGGGCCCCATTGCAGCAAACGACCCCAGCACTCACCCAGTTACCCAAGCTTCAAGCCTTAGCCGCTCCTCACCTCCTCTCCCCTCATCTCCTCTCCCTTCACCCCTGCACAACCCACCGCAAGTCCCACTGGGCCTCCAGCACATTCCAGATCCATTCGCCCCCCTCCAATTCCCAGTCACCCCTGAATTTAAGGTGACACGGTCTCTCACCAGGACGACCATGCCAGGTGTCCCTTTGGCCATCTTCCACTCCCAAACAATCCACCCAGCTATGACTGCAAGTCATCTTTTGAAAACTTAACCAGATTCTATCACCTGCCTGCCCTAAAGACTCCGAACCCTCCTCTGCTCCCCGGAAAAAGCCTCAGGCTCTACGGATGCTGCCGGCCAATCTCATCTCCCAAGCCCCCAGCCTGCATCCCGCTGGACACACTGGTCAGTTCCAGACCTTTGCTTAAAAGAAAGCACCTTTGCACATGCTATCCCCTCTTCCTCAGACTATTCATGTGGTTGACCAAGGTCTCAGTTCAGCTCCCATCTTCCCAGCAAGGCTGTCTCTGACCGCCCCATCCACTGACATTCCTTTCCCTCCAACTTTTCTGCATGCCATTTTCTTCCTCCACCAGCCTTTCTTATCAGCGTCAGACACCCCTGGCACCCCGCTCAGGGCCTGGAACACCCTGGTGTCTGGAGAATCAATGACTGGACCTAGCTTCCAGAAGAGGAAGATGGGGTTGGGTGTTCCCGGCTGCCTCTTCCCAGGACCCAGGCAGATGCTGTGTGCAGCAGCAGCCAGCAGAGAGCACGTCGATGCCACGTTCCCCATCCACCCGTGGAAGGGGCTTCTGGGCCAACCTCAAGGGAGGGCACTGCGGACACATGAGACCTGTGGACGTCCAGCAGATCTCTACCTACCCCCACCTACCCCACGTCCTCATTTGTCACAACCAAAAACATCCCCAGACATGCCAAGTGTCACCTGGGAGTGCAACTGCGCCAGGCCAATAACCACTGGTCTGTATCATTTATTTTACGCATCCATGCTCATCTCCCTGGTATGACAAGAAGATCCCTGTGAACAGGGACCCTCTGTTTTGTTCACGGCTGGACCCCCAATGCCCACAACAGCCGTGCACACAGTAGGTGCTCGTGAACAACTTGGTGAGTGGGAGTCTGAGAGACACAGGGCCTCCTCCCCTGCCTGGTGGGCCCCAGCAGGTGGACAGCGGGCCTCCCTGCCTCTCTGCCAGCCCCTACTCACTCACCATGGCCAGTGAGAGCAGGGACTGGCAGTGCAGCAGGACACCCGTGGTCACCACCAGCTCCAGCCACTTGCGGCTGGCATCACGGCTGCTCTCGTCATACTCCCCATTGTTGTAGTGGTAGCTGAGGGCAGCCATCAGCTGCTCAGAGAAGGTGCACATGGTGGCCAACAGTACCTGGCAGAAGATGATGTCCCCGCACAGCTGCAGCTCTGTGTCTGGAGCACAGGGGAGAAAGGAAGCCTTGCTGCGGTGTGCCCATGAGGCCACGTCCCCTTTGAAAGGCTCAGTGCAGGCCCAAAGTTAATTCTGGGTGGACATCCCAGCCACCAAATGCCAATTCCACGAAAGCCAATCTCCAAAAGCAAGACACTCCCCAAAGCCTCCCCTCTCAACAGCCCACCTGTGTTTCACCTACGGGCCTTTCCAAACTCCTCCACCCCAACTGTGTCTCTGCTTGCCACAGTATGCCTGGCCTTGAATGCCAAGAGAGCAAGCTCTTCTGCCAAGCTCCACATCTGAAGAAATTCAGCTAATTGTTCTCTCTCTGAGAACGATGCTTTCTTCCTGCTCTTGCCCCTGGCCTTGACCTTGGCATGGTTTGAAGAACTGGTCAATTTCAGAAGTTGGTCTTTCCAGCATTCTAGTAGGAATTATTTTCAACGACCAGCTTCTGGCCAATGGGTTTTAGTGGTCAATTTTGACCTAGGTCCTATCATAGCTCTACTCAGCTGAATCTTTCTGGAAAGAAGGCTGGGACCAAGAAGGTCTCCAGGATTCCAAAGCCCACCCTTCAGCCCCTTCCCCCTCCCCACCATCTGCTGGGGAAGAAGGCTCCATATTGGGGCTGAGGCTCTACTGGCAAACAGCCTCCTTCATCACGGCCCTCTACCCCCAGGTCCCTGTCAGCACAGCCCAGGCCTGGAGGGTGGCACAACACAGGCCTCCCTTGGGCACACAAGGAAGAAGCACAGTTGAAGTAGCTCTTGGGAGGCTGGAGGCCAACATGCTGCTCCCCCCACCAGGATCTGAGGGCCCACAGGCAGTCAGCCTTGGCCAGCAGAAGTGGCCTTGCCTGGGCTGTGGGCATGCCCTGCCAGGATGGCCTTTCAGGACATACCTGCAAAGTCCTTACCTGTGCACTTCAGCAAGGCCAGAAGCAGCTGGATCTTCCTGTCTGGAGAGAGAAGGGAGGGAAAGGAAAAGAGGGAGGGTGGGCTGAGAGGAGACAGCAGAAGGGGAGGCCAGAGCTGGGCTCTCCCAAGCCCAGGGGTCCTGATCCTTCACACCAGAGCTCTGGGTGCACAGGCTCACTCAAGAAGCTCCTGCTGAATGTGGGGTAAACTCCAGGACCCCTGGATGTTGGGAAGTTGGACCACACTATGAGCCTTGTCTGTTCATATGCACCCGCAGGACACAGATGGAACCAGCCCCAAAACCACTGGGCCACAGCCCCTGCCCTGCACCTTGCCCATGCATGTGTGGGAACACACACATGTGCATATACACAACACACATCAGCAGACACATGAGTGCACACCACACACACACACTCATGTGCAGTCTCCCACACATATATGCAACCACACACACACACACACACACACACACACACACACACTCAAGTGCAACCTCACACACGTATGCACATCCTACAGTCACAGCCTAACACACATGTAGAAAACACTATTTTCTTCCAGAGAGAGGCCTAACACCCTGGTCTCCTTCTTCTGAAAAGATGCTGCCAGGCCCAGAAAGGACTTAAAGAAACACTAGAAAGGGCTTTGTATTGAGTCTTGTGAGGAAATTTCTCCCTGAAAGGACATGCAAGATTCAGAGCTGGTGTGGCAGCAACGATGACAGTGTACCCCCAGGACACACTACATGCCAGGCAGCATGCCAAGTGCTCAGTGTGTGCTGACAGCTTAATTCTCACTGCACGTGAGAAGGGGGCATGATAAGCCCACTTCATACATGCATACACTAAGGCCCAGAGGAGTCAAGGAACTTGCAAAGATCACCCAGCCAATGAGTGGATGAGCTGGAATTTGAGCCCAGCTGGTCTGGCTCTAAAGCCCACACTCTGACCCCATTACAGTTTTGGAGAACAGGACAGCTCAGAGCCAGCCTGGACTCCATCTTCGAGGCTCTGTTCCTCAGGGCCATGAACCAGAGTCCCCGTACCTTCTACCATCTTGGGCCAAGGCCTGCATCTTCTCTCCCAGGAGTCCTGGACTCAAATCCCAGCAAGGGCCAGACAGGGCACATGAGGCATGGAGCAGCCACCAGGTTGTGGAGGCAATGGGGACTACAGTGAACTGAAAACCCCTGCCCATTCTGAGAGATTGGCAGTCACTCCTCTCCAGCAGATTGGGGACATGGCCAGCAGGTCTGGGGTCGCCCCATCTGGGTAGTAAGGAGTAGCCAGAAACCCAACATTTATGTTATAGACACTCACAGCTGCCATTTCTAAACCCATATGTGTGAGCCCAAGCCTGGTCAGAGGCTGTCAGCCTGTGACCCTGATAATACACAGAGGAACTAAACCAAATCTGCAGCTTGGAGGGCTGAAAGAGAACAAGTTCTGCTGATTCAGCTTCCTGGCTTGGCAAGGGAGCCTCAGTGCACACAGGGTGCACAGCCCTAGGCATGCCCTGCAGAGAAGCGTGCTGCTCCCCTCATCCTCCCCTGGACATGGAGAGTCAAGGGCACAGAGATTTCACATTCAGGACCGAAGGCCACAAACCCCCCATGTGACACATCTTCCCTGCCCACTGACCTTCCACATATCTCTGAATGTTGTCCACCATGATCTTGATGGAGTTGGGGAGGTTCCAGGGGTAATACTGGATGCTGACCTGGATCAAGTTCCAGCCACGGATTGTACACTCTTCTTTCTGTTTGAACTCTGGGGCAAGAAAGTGCCACGAGGGTCAGGGAAGGGACAGAGGTGGCTTTGGAGAATGGTGGCACAAAGGCCACCCTTGTCTCATCATATATTCCAAAGCTCATAATCCTAGATCAAGGATGCCAACAAGAACTTTGGGTATTATCTGGTCCAAGGAGGGCAAATACATGGTAAAACATGGTACTACTTCATGGTACCACACCTGTGGCAGACATTACTAATCAGTCTCAGTACTCTTCCCTAGATCTGAGGCCAGGGCTCCCCACAACTACCACCAATTCAGTGCAGGCCTCACCAATCGATCACAGCACTCTTTTCTCCTAAACCTCAATGCTGCAGCCACAGAAGAAGTCTATGCATCTGGGTACTGCCTCCTCATAGCCACAGCCAATAGAGCTGGCACATGACTTGTAACCTAATCTAACCCTTTCTCTATACAAAAAAAGGAAGTCAAGGCACAGAATGGGAAAGTAGCTTGCCTTAAGTCACACAGCTAGGTAATGACGGGGCTGGGACTTGACTCAGACCCCAGGAGGACCATTCAAAGGCCAGAAAAACACAGGTCCCTACTCCTTTGGCCTCGTCCCTCCCACAGGGTCCCAACTTCTGAGATATGTGTGGCTTTGTTTCCTCTGGGTTTGCAGTTTCTCCTTTCTGAGCTTCACCCCTAGGAAAGGTAACCTTGAGACAGCAAGAGGGGCAGAGGAGCTGGGTTGCCCAACTCAGGGTCTCACTCTGTCACCCAGGCTGGAGTGCAGTGGTGCAATCATAGTTCACTGTAACCTCGAACTCCTGGCCTCAAGCAATCCTCCTGCCTCAGACTCCCAAGTAGCTAGGACTACAGGCATACATCACCACACCTGGCTAATTTTTAAAGTTTTTTCTGTAGACAGAGTCTTGCTATGTTGTTCAGGCTGGTCACAAACTCCTGGCCTCAATCACTTGTCTACCTCAGCCTCCTAAAACACTGGGATTACAGCTATGAGTCACCATGGCCAGCTCCTCACCACTTTCTACCCTCACTTAGGGACAACTGCCTGTCTGCATTCCTGTTTCCTGCACCCAGGTGGGAGCTCCTTGAGGTCAGGGCAGGGTCAAATTCACCTCAGGATCTCCAGGGCCAGACAAAGCCTGGTGTAATCTGGTTCTGGGGAATTGTTTACTGGATGTTTATGTGTAAATGGATGGGTGGGTAGATGGATGGATGAGTAGGTGAGTGGAGGGTAGGTGCATGGACAGATGGATGATAGGTGGGTAGACAAAATAATGAATAGGTGGGTGGACAGATGGATGGTGGATGAGTGGATGGATGGATGGTCTGGTTATACTGGTTCTTCATACTTGGGGAGTTTAATAAGTCCCTTTCAAAATTAGAGTTTTTAGAGGAAGACACTTTTCCTTTAAGTGTCATTCATAATAATACAGGCATCAAATGAGCATCATTTTAAAAACATGAAGGAATACGTCAATTCTGTGACTATAACTCATATATTGGTGGCACGACATCAGAGGTTTGGCAAATGTGCTCCAGGCCTCCCCTCACATGTCACCATAGGCAGACCTGGAAATGTCCTGGTTCCAGTCTAGGGCTCACAAAGTACTATAAAGAGCCAGACAGTAACTATCACAGGCTGTGCAGGGCCTACAGTCCCTGGACATGTAGTCTTTGTTTTCTTTTCTTTTTTTTTAAATCAATATTTTTTATTATGATTTTGTGGGGTACAGTTAAGGGTTAGGTGTACAATTACATTTCATTCAGGCACCCTGTTGATAAGAGGTGTTTCCCCATCCCCAGACAGATATTTGTGACTGTTAATCCCATCCCCCCCCATAGTTTCCCAGTACCATCAGTCATTTTCTTATAGTATTACATTGGCTGTTCAAGGTCCATTATATGAGTGAGAACATGTGATACTTGGATCTTTGTTTCTGTGAGAGGTCACTCAGTATGATAGACTCTAGTTCCATCCAGATTGCTGCACAATTCATGATTTTGCTCTTTTTTATGGCTGCGTAGTATTCCATTCTGTATATGTACCACATTTTTTTAATCCAGTCCTCTTTTGATGGGC